ATTATTTTTATTTAAATAAACAAAACACTTGCTTCAATTTTTTTTTTTTAACAATTATCAAATCTAAATTAATAGTTTGAGTGTTATTTTATTTACCTCACATATTTCTGTTGATGCGATCCTGTATCTTTTAAAATTTCTATGTATTTAGGATTTGATAAGCTCTATTATGTTCATGAATAAATTATTGGTCTTTATTTGTCATAGTAAACATAGAAAATTTACTGAGTTTCATAGAAGAATGCTATATTCATATACTTTTAATCCACGAGCATCCCTATGTGTTTCACGTGAGTATAAAAAACATTATTGTAGTGAAAAAAAAATTCGACCTTTTGTCTAAAGATAAATAAAGAACAAACTAACGCTGTCGACTCATTGGGGCATTATTTTTGTTTTCCAACGTATGTTTTTAAAAAAAATAGCGGTAGAAGTTCGTCATTCTTTAGTTTTTAAATACGTATGTAAATTAAACAAATTAAACTATCATCATATTAAAAATGGAAAAAATTATGCTGTCTCGTAAAAAATGTTTTCTTTACATCTAACAATTAATAAAATACTATACGTAGTAGCAAAAATTTTTGATCAGTTCTAATCACCTCAAAGCTCTTATATTTATAAAAAAGAAAACTATCTTTTTCACCAGTTTATCACCTCGTTTAACTTAAAAAGTATCTACACTTTCAAGGTTAAGCCGGGGCTTTTTATCCCTACCTAAAAAAGTCGTAATTCACTGTCTCGCATTCACCTATGGGCTTGAAGACCTGTGGGGCAAGGAAAAAATCCTGGGACCACAATGAAGGGAATTTCTCGTGAAAACTCGTCCCAAAACGGTTGGCGTTCATATAGGAAAATTGTTCCCGTTGATAACAGCTTTTTGGACCAAATCTGCTTTCACAGAAAATCGTACCCTCGTGACAATACCAAGGATGTTTACCACTGAGCCAACACCACTTTATATGATTTCAGATACTGATAGCAATTGCAATTTTATTACCACCTCAATGTTTGCAAGTAGTAGGAAGTCCCATCATCCCTGGCCTAATGCCAGAAAGAAGATCATGGGTACCAACGTCTTATCAACAAGTAACTCCATATTACGCTGAAAATCAGGATTATGGATTTAATAGTAGTCCGGATAGTCATTTGCCTCCATATACGGGAACTTCAGAGACACCATGTGTCACTATGGATCCCAACCATGGGTTCGATGATTGGTTACACAACGATCAATCAAATGAAATGACTTCAGGAACACAGCCTTGGAAACATTCAAAATCCGCAGGGAAAGTAGAATTTGAACGACAAAAGGCTCCATCGTCCTATGATGTTACCGGAACCGCATATACCAACACTGGACGTGGTAAACACCTCAATCCTCTCTTTGTATCATCTCTTTGGCCAGATACAAATAATAATAATAATAATAATAATAATAATAATAATAATAATAATAATAATAATAATAATAATAATAATGATAATAATAATAATAACGAACGTGTTTGGTAAAAAAAATTCAGATGATCAATCGAATGAATTCATCGATCCAAGGATGGATTCATTATCTCGGTATAATCAACCACACTATCCCTTGGGGTCCGAAAATACCGGTTTTGCTCATCGACAGACTGATCCGAGAGATTATAATATGCGACAGGGTAGCAAATTCAACAATCCGTCTTGGAACGCACAAGGAAATTTCGATACGGAAAGCTGGAAAAATGGAATTCCAACTGTCCATAAAAATAACTATCCTGGATCAGAAGAACATGGCACAGAACGTTTTATATCTGATTATTTAAGCCAACTTAATGGCAACCAAGAAGCTTACACACCACCAGGTATTAAATTAAACAAGCCATTTTAAACCGTAGATGGCACTGTCTAGTTTTGGAGAAATGGAAAAAGTTAGGCTGATTTGCTAAATAATCTGCTTCTGTGAAGAACAAAGGTTCTCATGGAAGGAAATTTTAAAAGAAGACTCGAAAAACCTCCTAAAATATGCATGTTTTTTAAAAGTATATGACAAATTGTACACGATTTATAAAAAGCCTTCTTTTTTTTTTAGTCAGAAGAAATAGGTACATAATTTCATTTCTTTTTTTCCGCTTAAATTTGTAGAAAAGCCTAAAGATAGTTTCTTACGTAAGGAAGCAATTTATTTTACTTTTTGTTTAATGAAATAGTATCATTCCAATTTCTGAAATGGAATTTCAGCCCTTTACTAATAAAGTTTGTCCATACAACCATAATTTAATTTATAATTTCAACTGGCAGCCATAGAATCTCGAACATATAACGAAGAAGCTAGCGGAAGTCAAGGGGTTGATTTCGGTGGCTATGGTAAAAAATTCGATGGAATGTCAAATTACGGATGGGGAAACGATGGCAGCCAATCATACCATCCCTACCCATCTCCCAGCCAGTCTTCGGAGTACAATTCACATCTAAGTCCACGACAGGATACATCACGTAAGCAAATACGTGTAGATGGTCTTACTGACACTGCGATATCAAGGGATCGGTGGAGTGATCTTCCTCTGAATAATAGACATGGTCAATCCGCAAATCAATATGGTGGATTTCCACGAGGGATAAATAATGATGTGGGATCTAAAGATTATGGTAATAATCAATTTTTATTCTAAAACAAATTAACGTATGATCATCAAGATAAAAGACAATCGCTCGATTAGCTAAATAAAAACTAACTGGTTACAGATTATCGTCATCCAAGATATCCCCATGATTTTGAGGATGGAGGTCGATTGTATGAACCTGAAAAAGAACTTGAGACTCAAACAAATAATAATTTGCAAAGACATTCTGGAATGTACGATTTATACGGGAGTCCCCACCATAAACCATTTTCCGGCACATATCTAAATTCTGATGTCAAGGCAAAATCTCCGTTTTCTCATATTCGTCGTATGATTCCGCAACTGGAAGCATACCTACGTATATGAGGTCAAGATGAAAAGCCATCGCATATTTTAGTCTTACTTTAATGAACACATTGTTGTTCATAATTTTTTTGGCGAAAGTTCCGAAAACCTTTAATGAAACATATATAATAGAAACTGATAATTGTTCATGTAGTAAAAAATTGTCAAGGGTTCACTTATAATTTTCTTTGTGAAGCCACGAAACACTACTGTATAATAACGAATAAATAAGTAAAAACTCCAAAATGATTTTTTTTTACAGTCACCAAATATTTGTAAAACACTTATTTATAATCAATATTGTAGTCACTGGTTCTATAAAAAGTTTTATTAATTTTTTGTTTCTTAGAACTCACTGTTATTAAAAAAAAAAATAAATAAATTTAAAAAAATTTATCTACAAGCCGTAATGTACAAAAAAAACGTTAGTGTATACAGAAAGTATTATGAAAATTTACCACTATAAAATTTAATAAAATTGACTGTAGACTCGAATATGTAAGACTTTTTTTATTTTTAGTATTTTTTCGTTCAAAAATAACAATTTCTGCCAATAGGTATGGTTCATGAAATCAACTATGAAAAGTTTTTAAAAAATGTCATAAACCAAATCCAACACGACAACTGCCCTTAAGTGTTAGATCACTTATACGTATCTTCATTTTTTTCTAAAATCGATGTATGAAATGAAACAAAAAAATATGTAATGTAAGAATGTGAAAAATTAGACGCCTGTGTTAATATAAATGTTGAATACATCACGGTAATGAGGCACAAATTCAATGTAAGATTTTTTTCGCACAACAATCTGATGGTTTGAATCGTGCAAGTAGGTATCCTCAGAGGAAATTATAGTGATGATTACCCTTTAAAAATTCTATTGAAGCTCAGTAAAAATTGTTTAGTTTTAATTTGTTAAGTAATAAATGTCAATTTTTTAATAAAAATTTCTCTGATAAATATTTTGAAGCAAAAGAAAAGCAACTATTTTTGTCTCACATTTTTGTATATTTTTATATTTATAATAATATGCTACATTTTCTCTATTACAGAACGATTCTATTTACTTTAAAGACAAAAATATGATTTGTTTGCTGAAACTATTATTTAAAAATCTAAAATGTCCAAACTTTTTTACGTGTCTGTTTTAATGATTTATATTACAAACTTCTTTTCGTCGGAAAAAAATTAGAATAACATTAAAAATATAACTTATTTTTTTCCCTTCTCTTCTGGTTTTTAATGTGCTGACAAAGAAATAGATGATCGTGGGCAGTTAAATTACACCGTTAATGTTATGTTAAAAAAAGTAACGCTCTTATCACGATCGACTATTTGCACGCCACAAATTTTATATTTTAGTGTCACGTCGCTCAGGATCACGATACATTTTGTAACGTACGATAGTTACAATTTTTTAAACTAAGCGGAATTGTTCACATGTAACTTTTTAAAAATCAAGAATTTTGTCTTTAACAAGTAAAAAAAAAAACATGTTACTCCAACTGGTAAGTCTCTAACCACAAACCATAAAGTATTGAACTGTCAAAATTTGTAATCGAAAATTTACCAGTTTTTTTGTTTCAAAAATATTTATTTTACCAAGTTTTTTATTTCATGTACTTAATTATAATATTTTTATCATTATACAAGGTAGTATATGGTCCAAATGACTAAATCTCATATAAAATGTGCAAAAAATAATGTGTCTTTCAACGGTTTCAGGTAGTTGTATTATTTACAACCCAACTGTTTCACGTAAGAGGACACGCTTATAAACTCATTAAGAACAAAAATTCGAATGACAATCTAAATTCAACCCAAGCAAGTTAGTAAATTGAAAAGTACTTTTTAACGTTACATATACAGGGTTTCCCAAAAATACCGGAACGGACGATTTTCTCACAACAGACATACCAACGATCCAAAGGTTAAAGGTTTCAGACTACTGCACTTGGCAGTGACACCCCTCGTGACCTTGAAATTTTTTAACCACCATGTAACGGTTAACATTTTTTTTGCACAGAAACTCTTTTTTTTGTACTGGCAAATGGAGATAACACCAAATCCTGCGTCTAAATACAATTTGTGGTCTTTTTATTGCTGGTATAAAAAGAAGGGATGATTCCTATTAAAAAAGTTTCGGGTCATTTCCGGGTTTCATGGTCCAAAACCTACAACTTTTGTAAAAATAGTTTTTGATAATTATTTGTTTCTATAATGAAAAAAAAAAAAAACGGCCCTCGCGGTACTTTTTTGACACCCTGTATATATGTATATATTGACACTAGGGATATGTATCGAGTAAGAAGCATCATTCGTTGCTATCTTTTCTTTAAAAAAAGTGGACAAATAAGTTTTCCAGAACATTTAACAAGTCTCTAGGTGATAAAAAAAAAAAGTTATTTATATCTTCTGTTGATGCTCTTGTGTGTCCAGATACAATCTCTTCATTTTGTATTATTTTTTATAAACAGATTCAAAAATTGTTCCAGAAAATATTCACCACCATTCAAGTAATGGCTCTTATTCTCTAGAGTCTTACATCGAAGGATTTGCCAAAAATATCTTCAAAAATGATAGTACATCTCCACTCGCTCCACTAACTAATTTTACTTCGTTTGCTGCTGATAGTTTTCAGAACATGACGAAAATGTCTGAAAATTTGGTTCATGGTTTAGAAAAAGAGGTTAAAAAAAATTTTGACGATGCCGCTAAAAAAGTTAAGGGTAATATTTTTCGTGGTGCCATTGGCGCCATTTTTGGTTAATCAAATATTTTAATTCGAAATTTGTGTTTAGCAAAATTTACAACAAACCAATTGTATAAACTATACCCTAATGTTTTGTTTTTTATTATTATCATTTTTGTAAACATCAATCATCATGGTATACTAAAGAATGTCAATTAATTTTTTTTTGTCGCAATTTACATTATATTTTTCATTACACTTTTTTTTAATGATTGTTAGAATCTTACGTTTTCTGATGAAGCTTAAAATTTATGAATCCATCAACTAGTTTTCATGCTGCGCCAGTAGTTTTCTAAAAACTAGTTTCGTTGCAAAAACTAAACCTTTTTAAACAATTTTTTGAAAGTATATTATGACGCTTTTAAGGATGGAAACTGACAAATGTAGAAACTCACTGCATAAGTTATTCTAAAAAAATTAATTTTTTTTGTTCTAGAAGAATGTATACATATATTTTTAAAAATTAAGATTATTAATGAAAAAAATATCTAAAATAAATTTAGTCCACAAAAAAATTGATTACGAAAAAAAAAAAACGAGTAAGCTCTGTGAAGATAAATTGTTAGCGAATCTGAGGTTTGGTATACTTTTAGTGTAATTGTACCCACTTGAAAAAGAGGTCTTATAGATTCAATATGTGCGGTTTACAGGAACAAGTTACTCGCTTCTGATGCGCACCTTTTCTCATTTAATTCTTCGTTGATGTGAATAAATTTGGTTTCTACGTCTTTTTATTATTTTACGTAAATTTTCAGTAATTTTAACTTTAATTTTTTTATTACTGATCCATTAAAATTTTCAAAAATAAAGCAAAAACTTGGGTGTATACGCTAAACTCTTTAATTATCATCAAAAACATGACGATTTGTTTTTTAATAAATAATTTTAACTTCTAGGATTTAAGAATAATGATATATTTCAATAAAAAAAGTAAGGAAATTTAAAAAATGTAAAAAATGTTTATTGTGCGATTCTTTAAAAGTATTTAAGAGCTTCTTTACCAAGATTTAACTTGATAGTTATATGATATTGGTATACATTACGTATTGGATTATTTTTTCAAAATTATTCGTGAATCTCACTGCCCGAAAAGATAATTCGATAGCAGACAGTTTCTGTCACATTAATCTGTTAAAAATTGATTAAGCTGTCTAGAAATGGTTTCTTGTCTTCACGATTGTAAAACTGGTAAGCTTTTTTCACAGAGTACATCGGAAATCCATTTACATCCGCTTAGTAATAAAATAATTGGATTTTCCAAAAAAAATGTACTCACCACTCTCACAGCCTCATTGCATTTTAAAGATTTTAGATCGAGAGATGAGACCATTTTAATTTATTATAAAACGCACAAACAAAACCGACATCCCGTCCCAAAATTAACTCGTTCGTAAGCATGTTTTCGCGACCTCCTATACTTATCAGCAAAAAAAATGAAATAATAATAATAATTTCAACTTTCAGAGAGCTGATGAAACAGATGACGATATACTTAACGATTCGAGTGCTTCCAAAGCCCCTTGTAATGTACAGCACCGTAAAGTATTTAGTAAAAAATAGAATCTTCGCCTCCCGCGCTTCAAACGAGTTATTTCAAGACACGCTCGGATTTTCTTGGATACTTATCGGTGCGCTAACGTTCGTCAAACTCTCCATGAGCACGCACAAAAAAAAACAGCCGTCAACCGGCAAATGTCTCACGGATGAAAAAAAAAAAAAAAAAAAAAAAAAAAAAAATCCAATCCCGCATTGTATCCGTTCGCCCATCAATCTCCCACGCGACTGTATACACCCAGCATCAATTATCATTAAGATCCTGTTTTTTGCATTGCGCGCCTACTCCAAACGCCAAACTCGGCCTTTCCTTTTTCATTCCCGTACAACAAACAAGTCCCGGTGCGATTACTTTCCGCGCGCAACATTGTACTTACATACACGCGCCAAACACACGTGGCTAAACAAAAAAGGAAGAAGAGATGAAAAAAAAACAAGCGCTCGGATATAATTATGAGAGCAGGCGTGCTATAGGTATATATGTACATTAAAAAAAAAAATAATAATAATAAGAGAGAGAGAGAAAAAACAAACGGAGAGCACAGCCAAGGCAAAAAGTGAAGGACGCATGCGCCTCCAAGCGTACTAGCATCCATACCTATTACAGCAGCTCCGCCAAGCAAGCAAGTAAACAGCTCTATATACTAAGTATATCATAGCCAGTAGTAGCGAAGTAACTGAACCGGCTGGACAGCTGCTGGTGCACTGTACGAGCTTGCAAAGCTCTTGAGTGTGATCATATACCTGTGTTAACTAAGAAAAAAAAAAAAAGTGAATTAAATAAACAAAAGTAAAAAAAAAAAAAAAAAAAAAAAAAAAAAAAAAAAAAAAGACAAGAAATACAAAACCGTGACGCGGGGAGCCATCATCCCTCGGGAACTGCTACATTATCGATCCACGTGTGGGGAACGTTTGGGGTGGCGTGCCCCTCGACCGCCAGTTCCCAACAATCCGCCCTCGGAGCCTCGACGCCCGTGGACAATTCGCCCTCGTTTTACATATTGTTAAGTTACTCTCTTCGCCCGACCACCGCCACAGTGAATTTTCCATTTTTTCGGCTCATCGCTTCCGTGACAAAAGGGCCTTATTCCAGAAGCGTCGACGTTATTTGGGCGGATGGACTCGTTTTAGGGACAACGGCGTGTATATACGACAACAACCAAGTGTACGTGTGTTAACTGCAGTTGAGCCACGCGCACACAAGCGTGCCAGCTATGCACTGCTCCACTGAATATAATGAACGACAGAGAAGAGGCGGCTAACGATAAAAAGAAGGAGACCGAAACGGGGGGGTTGTCATCGCGCGATGGCAAAAAGTGACGGGGCGCGAAGAAGCAGGGGGTGTACACGTGTATAGCGGGGGCTCGTTTTTTTTTTTTTTTTTTTTTTTTTTTTTTTGTTGCTCGTCTGTGGGGTGCGTGGAGGATGGCGGTGACGAGGAAACGACTGGCCCTTTTGGTCCTGTGCGGCTCCGCTGTGCTGGTGCTGTACGCGACGACCAACGACGAGCTGATGCGCGAGATGCCGATTTTTCAGCCCCTCGACATGGACGTGCAATGTTACAAGGAGCCCTCGGCCAAGGGTGCCTTCGACAACTTCGACTTTCGAGCCGGTGAGTCTTGGTTTTTGCTCGACTCGACCACTCGATGATGATTTCGATGATTTTTGCATTTCACCTATACGGTTTCTCGGAAAAAAAAAAAAAAAAAACATGAAAATGAATGATGGAGACTTTGCGGGTATTATGAATGAAAAAATGTAAATACTTTTCACTGAAAAAATGGTTTTCACCTACTTATTTGCACCGAACATAGTATCCAAGAGCGCAATGTCCATAAGAAAGAAAAAAAAAAAAAAAACAATGCACGTATGAATTGATGTCGCGTGCGTTGGTTGACGTTGCGTGAATAGTGCATGGACAAGGAAGATTTTATTTATTGTCATAAATACCGAGGAGAAGGACGTTGTCGCATTATACGGGAGATAAAAATGCATAGCGATTGGAATTTCAATTACTTACCCCGTACGACACACTTTTTCCAACGACTCCGCATGAAAAGTTATCGAGATGTGGAAAAACTCACTTACTTTTAATACTACGTGTCGCGTGTTGGTTGTACAAAATGCTGTTTCTTTATCTTTTTCAACGCCGTTCGTTTGGTCGAATAAAGTGAGTACTTTTCCTTACGGATCGAGTTTCGCAAGATATCACCGGCAAAAACCGCTGAGCCAATTTGTAATGTCTACAGATATCGGGTGCACACCCGTACGTTGTATCAACGTAAAGCACACCACTTATTAACGTAGTATCCGAATGGCGTCACTGATTCGCGGTCGCGGGTATTAACGCCCGAGTGCCCGCACGACAAAAACATTGCAAAACTTTGCGTTGTATAGTCTTGTCTATATAGGGAGAAAAACAACAACAACTTTTTTTCCTTTATTCTTGTACCGTATGGACGCGTGCAACCATGTATAAACGTAAAAATCGATTTGACCAAGTTTTTGTAGTTGGAGTTGGCGTTAATGGTCATTTCGTAATGGTCGCGGTGCGATAAACAAGACCGACGAGATGGATGGATGAGTGCACGTGGTGTGACGTAACGTTTGTCGATGTAACGCGGCGATGTGAGCAGGTTCCGCGATGGGATGAACTTTTACTTTTGTCGAAGAGACATTTCATTCAGGTTTTGCGGCGCGCGAGGAATTCGCTGTGGCATTGTTGTTTATGGTAATAAATGGAAAAAAAAGAAATGGTGTATACAGCTGTTTTTCAAACATTGATGCTTTTTATATACCGTTGTTTTGTTAATTAATTTATTTTTCGCCCGGTATTTAGTTTTAAAAGTATAGTTGTTTACTTGGACTTGGAGAAAAGACGTGTTAAACGTGTTTTGCATAGTTAAAATTTTTTGTAATTAATTATTCAACCTTTTTGTCAGTTATTAATTTTTACAAGTATTAGTTACTTAATAGTTCTTACTTCAACAAAAAACAATTGTTTAACGCATAAGTTGTTGTGAAATAAAACGAAGCCTGTAAATACTGCAATTCGTATCAAGTTTTTTTCAATTTACGTGGGATTAAAATCTCATTGAATGCCTCAAGCGCCGATGTGACAGTGAATTAAATATCCAAGTTGAGAATCAGCCTAATGAGAACCACAAGCGTTTCTTTCAAGCGCGAATGGAGATATTTTTTTGCAGTATAGAAAATGGGGACTGTATTTTTATGGAAAAGTGGAAGCTGTTAAATTAAATTCTTATTGAATGAAAAAATTTATTTAAAATCAAAACAAAATATCTTCACTACTAACGAGTACTTATTAAATATGTCAAAATGTAGTTCAAAACATTTTTTTGTGACGTAATTAACTTTTTAATGTTATTTTCGTTTATAAATTCAATTTTAATTCAATTTTTAAGTCAGTTACAAATAATATACGTTATACAGTTAACGATCATGAATTTTCAAATAAATCACATTTCCTTGTATTTCTCTGCATACGAATAATACATATAGAAGCTTACCATAACGCCTATTTAAAAACTCAGTTTGTCGGTTATCTATACTTTTTCGTTCATCCATCTAAATAAGGGTTGCATTTTATTACAAATGTACATTTGATGCAATATTGAAAAAACAGCTTTTAATAAAATTTTTATTATTACATTTTTAATTAACACCAAAATTAAAATTACTACGTGTGGGTGCTGATATAGTTTTTTTTTTCTAAAACTTCTTACAATACAGTACTTTACAACAATTATTTCCTCGGTGAAAATAATGCATTAAATTCTTGAAAAACAAAAAAACTAGAAACAAAATTTTCAAATGTTTAGAAAAAAAAAAAAATGTAATATGTACTATGTCCTATAAACTTTTCTTGTCATATTATTAAACAGGAAAATAAAAAAAAATAGAAACAGCAACGAAATAAATTCCACATTGCCTTAAATTCTAGTTAAAAAAATTGTATTTCAATGTATATTTAACAATTTATAGCATAATTGCACTTTCAAGTTTTAAAGCCACAAAATAACTAATAACGATAAAAGTGAGCACTTGTCCACTCGCGTGCACGCCCCTCGAAAGGAAAAAAAAAAAAAGAGCCTAACGGACATTTCCGTTCATCAGAGCCAATTTATGGTCAATTAGTGCGCGCAAACAAGTGCACATGTAACAACCAAGCACGTAATTCCAGAGCAAGCCCGTCTCTCGTCGGGCAAGAACATCTTCTTCCACGAGACCTCGTGCTTCGGCCGCGAGACAAACCACCAGCTGGAGTTCAACTGCCGGCAAGCCTGTGCCGTAGAATCCGCGGCTCGAGCCAACCCGGGAATGTCGGTGAATTTGCTGTTCCTCAGTCCATCGGCGCCGTCCAATCGCACCCGGAAATTGTTGGATCTCCTGCTGCGCTACGACAACGTGAGGGTCAAGAGGATACTGGTTGACGATTACATCAAGGAGTCGCCGTTGGAACGGTGGTACGAGGACGGGGTGCTCGGGACTAGCCGCTGGCCCAGGAGCCACATGTCCGACATTCTGAGGTATCTGACCCTGTGGAGGTTCGGGGGCGTCTATCTCGACCTCGACGTCGTTATTATCAAGTGAGTATGAATCTTTTTTTTTCAGTTGCTTTATTAGGAGACATTAGCTAATCAACTGTCACTAATTGTATGAACATTCATAAGTCTAATTAATATTTATTGGGTCGTTGGTTGTACGTAAGAGCAGTGGGATGTGTGGAAATTTGTGTGACAGTTTGTCGTTTCGTTACTTCTTGTAACATGAAAATTTGCTTCCTTAAATTTTATTAATAAGACAAACATTTTTTACTTTTAACAAAACAAAAAAAAAATGACAGTATGTTTTATACTTTCTATCAGAATTATTTTAAACTAACTTTCTAATGCCCATTAGTGAAGGAACATTTTTAAAATAAAATTTTAATGTCATACGGATAATTTTGAATTTTCATTAGTTTTTCGTAGGTATACGAGTAACATTGATACCAACATTGGTTAAAAAATTTTAAATCTTCCATTGATTGTAAACCAATTACACAATTTATGAACATGAGAAACAATCACTAGATTTTACCAAAACCTTGGAAAAATCATAAATTGACCAAACAAAGCATTTTATTGATAAAAAAAAAATCGGTAATCGCGTAAATAAACATTATGTCTTTTTCATAATTATCGATGAATTTCAGTAGTTCATAAAAACCCAAAAAATGTTCACTCAATAAAATACGTATCCTCGTACGCATAATTTTATCAACACTTGAAACACATTGTTCGCATTTTAACAGCGCAAAGCTTCTCCTCTGTTAGTGGGAAACAAAACCCAGCGCTTATATACAAAACATAATGGTGACAAAGAGAGTGCGGACTGAAGGGCGTAGCGCGTGTACACCTTTCGAGAATAAATATTTAAAAACCACTCCACAAGCCGACTCTATGATAGACCGAAATTACAGCTTATAGAACTCGATTCGAGCACTTCGATAAACATACGTGTGCTCTCAGTAAGTATGCAAACGAGGATCGCCAGATCGTAGATAAACAGCTGGCGTGTGTATACAACGTACACACGCGTGGAACTAAAAATACACATTTAACTCGGCGTGCGTGACATAGAGTCATAAATCTTGCGTATTCTACTAAAGACATTTATCATTATTTGTGGTTTGAGGGTGATACCTACTATTTCATTATGGTTCGATCAAAACATTTTTTTTAAAACAAAGTTCTTCATGGCGCGTTCCCCATCAAAGTAATCTGGAGTATATTAAGATGCGGGTTCGGTGTTTTTTCTGTGAAATTGTGCGAGAACAAAAAATACTGGTTGCGCAGTCCAGGTCCAGGGGCTGCATGGCGAGGACTCCTATAGAAAATACACAGGGCAAAGTATGCGTGTCAATGGTACATAAGTAAAGCAGTAAAAGTGTACTTTATGTACATCGAAAGGTATTAAAAAAAAAAAAAAAAATAGCTGTAATATAACTAATATGCGATTACGTGTTTCAAAGGAGGTAGCACCATAACTTTCTTGCATTGTTTCGTATTTTGTTATTTTTTTTTTAATTTTAATTTTACATCTCATTTTACTACATCCTCCCTGGGACCTTCGTTCTTATCGGGGATCCTCTGACTCGCTTAGTTTTTTCTTCTTTTATTGTTATTTTATGTGGTGGGTGTAGACTCGCATAACATCAAGCTACGATACATTTTTTAATTTAATAATTGTAACTGCATACTGGCATTATGCCCTAAGCAATTAAAATTTTTATATATAATTTTTAATTAAAGTATACATTTTTAGCGAACAAATATTGTTTCAAGCGCAATCTAATGATTTTAAATTGTTCAAGTTGATTAATTTTAAATAAAACATGTAAGNATTGGGTGGAGCGTAGCTTGACAGCTGGGTGGGTTCGGCTCCTAAGGTGATTGAAAAGAGGGTGGAGTCACGTGACGCCATAACTCGTAGCTCCGGGTGACGTCACGAACGGCGGCGCGACGATGATGGCCTCTACTCATTAGAATGGCCTCGGCACGATATACTGTCCATATATGTCACGGGGTCTGTCTCCCCGGTAGCTTGTACATTCTTTTATGTCATATTCTCGATAATGTTTGCATTTGGAGTCGTAACGAGACTATGATTGCACCATTAATAGTTTTAGTCGAATGAATTGTTTTTGTTCAAAATATTTATTTGTATAAAATTGTTTGTAACATCATAAATTAAATATAATAAACAGTCATTTAATCAAGACAGGATTTAATTTAAATGTACGCATGGATAAAAACAAGTAACTAAGGCTATTCGAGTATTGTGTGCATTGATGTTAACACAAAACAAAAAATACAATGTGACCAAAGAATGATGATATAGATCGGCGTATCCTTTTTTGGGACAAACAAATGGGAAAAAAAAGCTCGTACAAAGAAGGAAAAATAGAAAGAGGGTAAATCACAGCAAGTGAAAAGTTAATTAATATTACATCTGCTGAGTAAACAACAAAGTAGTAGGTACCGAGTGCAGTACACTATAACATCACACAAAATATATGCACGCGAGCATACGATATAATATGTGCGCAAAGCTCGCTCTCGGGAAAATCCAGGCGAGAGAGCAATGCATTCATTCAACGCTCGTGGTAATAAAACACCATAACGAGGTTAACAAACCGGCCGGCGAGAGAGAGAGAGAGAGACAAGCAGGCGAACAATTAAAAACCATTTAATCTTCCTCGGACGCGCGAAGAATGCCGCGTTTCGCTCTCGAAGAGGGCCCCTCCGCGGGTCTCGTTTTTTAACGCCGCCGTAAATCTCGCAAAACAGTCGAGCGTTATTAATCATAAAGATATTTAACAGCTGTAAAAGTGACTGCGGCCGCATGTATGTATACGTGGATATGGGCGCGTGTCGCGCTGCTCGTAAATACGTCGCAGCTACCGAGACCAGACTGGGACCGTGTATACATATACGAGCACCGGCACGCATGTAGGTAATGCGAACGAGAGGAGAAAAACTGTGGGAGAGTATGTTGTGTCGTAAGAAAGCGTCGGCGAAGATAACCAAGCGCACGCGCTGCGGAGAAAAAAAGAAGCTGCGCACAGGAAGATGCACGTATATGACTGCGGGGCCTCTCTCGCTTTTTATCCTCGGCGTTGGGTCGTCGTCATGGGAATTCCTTATCCTGCACGCACGACGCGGCCTTGGGGGGACAGAGGCGGTTCGTCCACGTGTGCACTTTTAAAGGTCTGCTTTGGGTTTTTTTTTTTTTTTTTTTTCTCCAAGGTGACTATACTTTAAGGTGAATAAAGTTTGATATTTTATGCATTTTGTTGCTTTCCAATTGGTATAATGCCTATCTGAAGAATATACAAGATGTGGAATGATAATTAGAGATAGTCAGAGGTAAAACGAATGTTGTCGCTAAATGTAACATTTTTTCTCATTTTTTAAAATTAAGAGTATTTTATTTTTTGTTTGGCAATTGTTTGATTAGGCCAACTCGTTGAAAAAAAAAAAAGTAATAAAATAAGAAATCAATGTTTGCAACCTTCAATTTTGAGAAAAAACTAACACTTTGGAAGCATATTAACCTTCGGCGAAAAATACATGTGCGAATCGTTATTGTTTATCTTTGACCTTCTCATTACATGCAAAATCACACTGCGCTCCGTGACTATATACCTAACAATTGTAATTATGTCATCACTCTGTTTGAAGTGAACATTTTCGTTTTACTACGAATTAAAAAAAATTGCATAGTAGTTCTGCGGACTTTGTCGCATATATTCACGTAAAAATTTCCAAAGGATTTTATTACTTATTATCAAATGCAATACGTACTTACAAATAAGGAGCATTACTTACGTAATTGCAAATACGCTAACTTTTTTATTAAGTAAAAAAAAAAATGGGTTATTACTTTTTTTTTTTTTTTTCATAAAAATAGTAAAAAACACTTTTTTGTTTTAAATTCACGATTGTATTAATACCCTATTTTAATTTTGTCCAAACTAATTTTATTTAATAAAATGAAACGATCCCAATGCACGATTTCCAGGCCAAAGACATGACGGTGAGACGCTGCAACGGCTTCGAGGTGTTCCCACCCCCGGCTTTTTATCCGATATTCTACAAAGAGTGGCAGCGCTACTTCACCGAGGAAAAGGCGAACGAGACGATGCACCTGATCAAGCAGGCGAGGGCGATACACGTCTGGAACAAGCTCAGCACCTCGGAGGTGGTGCACATGGGCAGCAGAGTTCCCTACGCCCTCGTCGCCGAGAAGCACTGTCCTCGGGCTTATTACGGCTGTGGCGCGACTTTTTGATGATGGACCAACTCGTGTCCACGGCCTAACGTCATTGGAGATTTTTTATTTCGTCGCGCCGACACAGTAGGTAATGTATGTATAAAAAAAACTTGCTCAGAACAAGCTTTTGTGTATGTTTTAGACAATGACATTGTTTTTCGAACGAGTAAAACATACACCGTACCGTTAAGATAGCTAAGACTGACATTCTCATTAAAACAATTAAAAAAAAAAAAAAAAAAAACAACGTTCGTTGGCTACTTTTCCCACCCATACCTTTGTCCATCCCAATCAATGAATCGTATGCCGTCTTCAAAAAAAAAAAAAAAAAAAACTATTGTACACGTATACCAAGAATGTGCCGTTACCTAATGACGCTTGTTACGTAAAATTAATAATTTTTCCACGAAAAACGAGCACTTGAAGCTCAAGGATGAAAAAAAAAATTGTTGATACTAGTCAAGTGAACGTGAAAATGATAAATAGAATTATTTTTTTATGACCGCGTGAAATAATACGCGTTAGTACTATGTAGTCGCTGATTTTAGTCAAATAACGAGCAATCGATAAAAAAAAAAAAAAAAAAAGTATTT